TCCTTGGGGAAGTATGGATATTATATATATATATACCCTCTGGTTATTTAACATAGCCATGGGAAATGGCCCATAGAAATAGAGGTTTACCTCTTAAACATGGTGATTTTCCATGGCTATGTTAAATAACCAGATGGTCTATGATGATACTATATGAATTTATATATATATATATATGCACGTACAGAATTGCCCTCTGGTTATTTATCTTAGCCAACTGGAACATCGCCATGATAAGTTAAGAGGTAAATCATCATAAATAATCTATAAGTGGACCATTTTCCATGCGATTGAAAAGTACCGGAGGGTATAGTGATACACCCAGCAATAGGAATTACTTAATGGAATGATTCGGAATTATCGTGAATTGTACTCTGAATACCCAACTACAAGTAAATCTCTATAGTGAATCATGGTGATATACCCAGCAGTATATTGGTTCGCACTTGGGGTTATATATGGTTATATGATTATAGCAAAAGTTTGTTGGGTGATCAACCAAATACTAGCCAGCCTCCCCGTAGAAATTGGTAAACGATGATAAAGATATCATAGATGTTGGGTCAAAGTACTTCATGTTTGTGGGTCAGTGGAAGCTCTAGGCATAGTTGCTTTAATTGTTTATTTTTGTTCTTACTTTTAGCAGTCAATGTGAACACAGCAGCTTAAAATTATGTTCTTTATTGGCTACCTAAGCTTGACCACAATCCTCGAAACATTTTTTCTGTGCGGGAACTGCCTTTATGTGTTCATTACTTAAGTGTTGATCGATAAAGTATGATAAAGTAATGACTTGGCGATCAAAGGGGTGGACAACATCACATTACTGGTAATGAAAACAAACTTGGCAGTATGCAATCCAGTCCATCACATTACTTAAGTGTTGATCGAAAGAAACTTGGCGGACTGGATGGACTGGATTTGGTCCACGGGGTCGATCGTCACCGATGATTTCGACTGGATTTTCCAAAAGGAGTCGTGGGGTGATCCTCCAGATGATTCGTTCTGGGGTGCTGGATCCCTCTGGTAAACTAACATAGATAACATAGCGAACTGGAGAGATCCACCCATTTTTAATGGGTAAATCAACTATTTCTATGATTCTATGGCCCATGTTCAATAGCAAACTGTATCAAACTGTTAAATTACCAGAGGATATCACAACCCATCAGAAATTCTATCAAGCAACCAGTAATCAAACATGGCTATGGAGAACCCCCGAACTAAAGGGGCATCAACCAAAGCATTGGAAATTATGGAACTACTGCTGGGGAATTGTCCAGCCTGTTTCATTTCCAGGTTGGGTAATCTGGATAGATTACTGCTGGTTAGCAAGAAGGAAAATCCCAAATTGGCCTTATTTATATTTATTTATCCTGATTTCAGGTTGGTTTTGTATTGCGATGTAGTCCACCAACAAATCCCAACTTGCCTTTGATCTTTGGTTTCCTATCAATAAACACATGAGATCACCCCGTCACTGCTCCCTGCTCTCAGAAGTGTCCGGGATCAGCTTTGCGGTCTTGGACTCCAACAACACCGCAGCGGCTCCGGGCGAGGCCCGGGGTGTGTGCGACTGCCCGTTTTTGTTATCCAAGGATGTGTCTCATGTCTAAAGAAATTGAAGTTTGATTCATGGACAAAAAAAACATTTAAGAATGATTTATCACTTCAACACATGAGCCATACTTGAAAAACTTCTGACAATTTGGGGTTTGTAAATGCAGTTGGCACTGTAAATCATAGTGACTTCACCCAATAGATGATGGTTTGTATCAGAGCACTGGGTCCAAGATTGCTTCAAATCAGTTTTTTGGATATGTGGCATTTGTGCAGATCATTTGCTTTAGTTCTTCTGGGGGTGTGGTTGAGAACTCACCTTTAACAGGGAAATGATGATAGATGGTATACCAAACTGATTGGCCCCTCTATTTTTACCAAAAGGACATTATTCTTTAACATGTTGTTTATTTTGCAACCTCCTTTCCAAGACACAAACTTTTAACTTTTTTCCCACCCAGAGGGGCCCTTTATATAGGAAAATAAACACTGCCATACTGGTATCATACTGGTATTTTGCCTGGACATACCTGGTGGCTGACAAGTTTATAGTATAGTAAGTCAAATATATAGTAAGTAGTAGACAATTTTGTAGCATCAGTAAATATAATACATGTAAATACATTGTTGTACTTTAGCGTCAGTAAATGCATTGTTGTACTTTGCATGCTAGTTATAAGTGAACACCCGCCCGTGTTACCCCACCGAGAACCCGGTTCAAAGCGTTCAGGTTCCAGCAGCTTTGCAAATCGGTTTCACTGCCACCAGCACTGGAACCGCCCTGGTGACTGGGCACCAACGCAAGCGTTGAACTTGAAGGCCAAGGAAACCCCAAACCATGGTCGAGATGCGGATGACGATGTTGGTGATGTCCCTGAGGTGGAATTGCTACAGCTAATTATAGGCAAAAAAATGGCCGCGGGCCGCTCCTTTCCCCAGGGATTTGGTCAGATGAGCAGCTAAAGAAGCAGTACACTTCTTCGTGCGTGTGTGTGTGTGTGTGTGTTTGTGTGCGTGTGCCTTGGGACTTTATTTGCATGTAAGAATAACGCGATTTTTTTGGAGCTGCCTAAAGATCTAATTTGTTTTTTTGGTCAAAGGCGGGCCCATGTCCCAAGGCGACCGTCGCCACTTGTTGGTTTTCAGCTTTGGGACACTGGTTCCAGTCCTTACTCTTCACGCTGATAGGATGACCCCTGAACTTTGTGGATGATGAACAAGTGGAATGTTCTTCAAACGTGCATGGCATTTCATACCATATTTAATGTTTCTATTTTAAATGATTCCAACCCATGACAACTGCTTTTTTGCATTTTTTCCTTGCACTGTGCACACCATAAGGTCAATGGGGCAATATGAAAGCCATTTGCCCAATATATGGAGGATTAACACATGATCAAAATCCATTGTAAAATCAGATGGCAATCATCATGTATGTAGGTTTTTGTTAGTGTTGTTCGTGTGCCAAATCGTCAACATCACCTTGTGAAATCCGAAAACATGTGGGAGTTCATCAACTCGTTACTCCAAAAGGACATGTGGGAGCCGAAGGAAACAGAAAAAAAAAAGAAAAACATATCATATCGGATCATTCAAGGAAGGAACTTGAAGGAACACTCAGAAAATGACATCCTCACAGGTTCTAAAAGAAGCCGTTTGCAAAGGCCACGATCAACCTCCCATCCGGCTTTCTCTCTGATGGCAATATGAACATCGGCGGCGGACGTCGTTTGGAGGCCACGAAATTCATTGGAGGTGTATTAATACTGGTTTCAAAAATGGTTGGTGGTTTGGAACATGTTTTTCCCATTCAGTTGGGAATAATAACCCCAACTGACTTTCATATTTTTCAGAGGGGTTGAAACCACCAACCAGAAAACATGTGTAGTACTTTCAGTGAATGTAGCCCAATGGAAAATCATCCGTTGACTTTGATGATTCTTCGAGCAAATCCGGGAATCGCAACAGCAGCGCACGTTCTGCACGATGAATGGAACAGTTTAAGGGAAAATCCACGTGGAACCATGGCTTTTGCATGTTTTTACCATAAAGTATCGCAGTTTCCTGCTAGTTTTGCCTTGGTTAGTAAGTCCAATCTTCAACTGTTTTTTTGGGAAGACATTTTACATCTGGGCTATATAGCCCATTTATAATTCGGCTTCGTTTGCAAGAGGCCAGGCCAACAAGATCAGAGCTCGGGAATCTTGTTGGAGCTGTACACAGCTACCAATATGAATCTGCCAAGCAGATGATAGTCATGTTGTATCAAGGTGTATCATGTTGTATTTTTTTTAATCTTTTGACGGGGGACCATATGATACGTGTACTGATTGTTTAATTTTTTTTTGTCTGATCTATTGAATCTATTGCATTTTTTAAGCGTGCCCCATGGTCGTCCTTTACATCATCAGCCAAAGCTGGTGGTGATTAGTAAGGAGAGATCATGTCGCACGTTGAATCCCAGTTACAAGAGGCTTTGCTATGCAGTTCACCATTTAAGACATCCCACTAAAACTGGCTGCAAGCATATATTTCCTACTTGATGTGCAGTTTCAGTGAACTCAGAAATATAACATATACATACATATACAGATATACACACATATATATATATAGATATATGATATACACATAATATAATATCATATTATACCAATGATATATTTCATAGCAACAAAGTGGTTATGTCCTAACTTTTGGGCCTCCAGGTGGATGAAAGCGACTACGCGTGGCCGCCGCGACGCTTGGCGGCCGTCTGTGAAGCCTACGGGACCGCCACGGTGTCCAGCAACGTGTTGACGGTGCCCGTCGGAGCCTGAGAATGTGGCTCCTGGCTGCCATGACTTGGATGACTTGGGGATGGTGGCCATAATTGGGTTTAAGATGTTTAACCCCCGGCAAAAAAGAACATGAGTTATCACGATTAATGTCAACCCCGGATTAATAAACCATGGTTTATGAATTGGGGGGGGTACTCCTCCAATAGTCATTATTTGATACTTAAATGGTACCCTCCCAATTAAACAGCCTAGGGGTTTATTAATCCAGGGTTGACATTATGGTTGTCTGGTAATTTTTTTCATGATTATGAATGGAGTGAAAAATCGGAAAAACAATCCATAGTTTGTGGTTTTAGATATGTGTTATGCTTCCAAAGATTAGCAAATTTTCAGGGGGGTTGATACTGCCAACCAGTCATGCCTGGCTGGGCAATCCACATTTTGTTGCGGGATGGATGGATGGATGGATAGATAGATATAGACAACCATAGATTAGATCAGATTACTGTAGATTCGTTTATATAGTTTAGTTTAGCTTGTGTCTTTGTTCCTTCGCTTCTGCTTCCGCTCTTCTGCTTTTCTGCTTCTTTGCTCAACCTGTTCCACTATGCCACGGATATCCAATTTCTGGGTGACCATCGGTTTGCACTCGAACCAGACTGCAATGCATGATGTGCAGCGACTAGACTAGCCAAATCCGATAAATATTCATAACTGGTCTGGATTTTTCAGAGGGGTTGAAACCACCAATCAGTTCATAACTGGTGGTTTACCTAACAATTGCCACTACCAATTGACATGGGAGTTTTCTTTCGTTGGAATGGTCACTCTATGTCACGAAATCTTCGAGGGACCCTGGCTGATCCAAATCCCTGGGTTTCCTGCGTTCGAACGTAATGGCTTACCACCATCCCCCTAAAATTGAATAACCCCCCTACAAGGTGGTGCCCCCGTTCGATAGCTAATTTTTTTATAATGTTTTACAATAACTATGGTTTATAGGTGATATAATCTATATAGTTAATGGGCTTATAACCAATTTATAACTGGGGGGGGAGCACCTTGTATGGGCCAAGAAAATGAGCAGATCCGATGCTAAAGCCTGTTTTTGAGGACGGTAATTATTGAACATTGGGGGGAGGGATGGGAAGGGATTCTGCCAGTATAACTAGTCTCATGACCCTGCTGGTGAACAGAAAGGGCTGACAACGGAATATCCAGGAATTGGATGAAAGGGTCAACCCCGAGCTGCAGTGATGGAACTCACGCTTTTTCCTGAATTTCACCTTGAAATTCACAATTGACGGTAAAATGGAAACCTGGAACCCAGATCAATTTAGGGCTAATAACAATTTATGAAAGACATTTGTTTGAACCCAAAGATACCCTCCGGTAAACTAACATAATTAACTATGGAAAATCACCATTTATAATAGGTAAATCATCTATAAATGGTCCATTTTCCATAGCTAACTGTTAGTCATTACCGGAGAGTACATGGTTTTGGACGTGAGGTGAGGAAGGTCGGCACAGCCAGCACACCTTGTGACACTGCGGGCGCGGCCATTTCGATGGTCTTGACCGCGAACACTGCCAGCTTCAGCTCGTTGGGCACAGGTCAACTGGACTTCACTGTGCCACTTTGCTGCGATTTTGGAGACTTTCTGGGGCAAATCATGTTGCTTATTTTCCAAGGAGATTTAGAAAATGCCGAGTTCAAGAATTGTATATATATATATATAATTATACATATATATATATATATTTATATACATATTATTGTATTATATATATATATATTCTAATATATTTATATTTTATATATTAGGTAGTTTATTTATATTATATAATACATATTACATTATATAGATTATATATCATAAATTATATATAGTTTATATTTATATATATATATATTATATTGGTAAATATATTATGTGATCAATGCATCAAATGTGGGACGAAAATGGACAGCGTCCGGTTTGCACAACCCATGATATATATATATATACACATAACACAATATAATACACTATATAATATAATAATCCCATATAACATAATGAAATATAATAATATATGATGTAATATATTTTATAATATGTATATATATATAATTATATATATAGATGATTTTAAGCAAAAAGATGGGCTCCATTCTTTTGTTTGCTGGATAAAAGGGCCACTTTAACTCAAAATGGTGAACTGAGCTGGCAAACGGGGAATCAAATATATCTCAACATGCGACCCAAAAGTAGCATGTTCAGATCGGAAATTTGTCTTCCCAAATCAGATGTCTCTGATTTTCTCAAAGTTAGTCAGCCAACCAACATCAGTTCAATCTGCCACAGTCATGGCTTTGTTCGCAAAAGCTCTAAAAGGGTCTCCAAAATGCAATGTGCCATAAATATCTATGCATGCCCCTTGGCCTTCCACGCAGTGAAGCTTCAACAGCGCTTTCGATTTTTGGAGATTAGGTGTGAAAAGCCAAAATAAAGCAGAATTTGCTTGAAAGAACGGTGATTTTGCCAAATCACGTTTGCCGCACTTATCAGACTTCTCATGTTTTGGGATCCGAAACCAGGTTTTTGAAATTGAACTGTCAAATTCAATAATTATGTTTGATGCAATTTACCATCCATGACAGTAGCAGATGCTTGTATAATTTTTCTGGCTGATTTCTATGCTACCATTACTGCCATATGCTACCAGTACATCTATCTAGCGGCGATCGATCGCCGGAGACTGGAGAATCGGCCCATCATCATTATGAAAAAATGGAGAAAACATGGGTTTTCCCGGGAAAAAACAACATTTTCAGATCGAAATGATAGTGAACTGATGTGAATTGTACTGTGATTTTCCCATGTTTTATCCCACAAAAATTTCCCCTATTGATGCTAGTGTTTGTACTTGGTGGCTCCTCCCACTGGCTGGGTTATAATATGTTAAATCCCAATGAGTAGGGTAAGCATCGGGAATGTCCAGTTATAACTGAGGTATGCTGGATGAGCCACCTCGATAGGATGAAGGAATGATGGTGATGGTAGAGATAACATGAGACAACTATATCCCAAGCCAAAGGTTTCAGGGTTTCAGGTTAGTGAAATATTCTAACTGACCCCAAAAAAGAAAGATATCAATAAGTAGATAAGTAGGCAGGTATCCATGGATTCGGTGTTGATTTATCCATGGATTTCTCCATGGATTTGATTTGTGCGACGGTTTTTTCAGTTCAGACCAGGCAGACTGACGTTGACAATACCCCTGTGAGTGTGACCTTCACAGTGGGGAGCTCGGCGCAATCGCAGAATGTCACAATGACTTGGCAACATAGCATAGTATCGAATGGACCTCTGGGATTGATATACATACTATATATATATATACATGTATCTATACATATATCTATATATCCTAATTGGTAAACATACAAAAAACGATGGAAAGATCCACCCAATTTTATGGCTAAACCAACTATAAATTGCCATTTTCGATAGCAAACTGTTTGTTTACCGGAGGGTATGTATGTATATATATATATTTATTTATATATCAATGCTTATGGCGCCATTTTTGGACATCCAGAAAGTGTAGGGTCCAGCATGATCCAGTGATTGGGGTCTGGGGATCAGTGGTACCTTAGGATTTGGATCCATGGGGAAGTTGGACTTGGGGAAACAGTTTCCATACCCGGACTCAAATGTCGCCTGCTGGAAAGTGCATAATTTATCATCATTTGATGATTTTCCCAGCTATAAACCTCCATTGATAGAGGAGTTTCCCATAGTTTCCCATGATTTTCCTATTAAAACCATCCATTGATTGGGATTTCCCAGCCACGTTTGACATCAGAGGGTACGTGAACTCCTGACTGCAGCCCGTGCCCAACTCGACTTACACTGCAGACAGCTGTTTATCACTGCAAACAAAAAAAACCAAGCATGTTGTGAGATCTTGGTGATTTTGGTGAGTCTTTTCTGGTTTATGCATTCTGCACTTGCATTGAGAATAAAGTCATAAAAGTAGTTTCTTGGGCACATTTTTATCTATGTTTCCGTTACTGTATATGTATATATATATATATATATACGGATATAGTATAGTAATATGCACATAGTCATCCTGAAGTAGATAGAATATGGTAGAAGATCGAATTGTCAAACATATTCCCATTGTAGTGAGGATTTGCTGTAAATTCCCTATCTACTCCAGGATGACTATATATATATATATAAATACGTGTATATATACATATATAAAATACATATACATATATATATATATTTGTAATACATACAAATGCGCATTGCGATAAATATTTGCGCCTGTCTGAACTGAGTTTGGTCAGTTGGACCCTTTTTTCTGACTCATCCCATTTGGCCATTTTTGCAGAGGGATTCCACTGGTGTGATGACTGGGGCAATCCCTTCCTCTGTTTAGAATATTGGAATATTATGATCTATGAATCTATTATGATCTATTATTGGAATATTGGAATATTGGAATATTGGATCTATTGTTTTATGATTGGAATATTGGATCTATTATGACATTATTATGATCTATTCAATTCGGCGCCCTTCTTTGAAGATAAGATGTTCGTTTTTAAGAAAGGCTACTGGATTGTTTTTTGTTTGGGAAAAGCTGCAGGAAACCAGCAGGATTTTCCCATAAGATATATATGGGGCCTGGCAACACAAATCCACCGGACTTTGGCCATCCCAAGGTGGACAACAGCGGTTCATTTACATTGTCGGCCGTTGGAGACCCGATCACTTGGTACCAAGGTGTCTCGCCGGAAATGGTCCCTGAAATTAGGCTCTATGGTAGTAGGGGACCTCCTCAGGAGGTAGAATGTTAGACAGAATGCCAGATAGAATGTCAGAACATATGTCAGATAGAATGTCACTTGGTGGGGTCACTTGGTGGGGATCACTCGAAGACAGTAATTTGGAGTTCAGTTCTAGCTCAAAGCGGAACAAAACAGGAATTTCAGGCATCTTGCCAGTAGAGCTTTGCTTCGGTTTGTTTCTACTTGCAATTTGAGCTTTCAGAGGTGTAACTCTTCTTATGGGGACGATCTACCAGGAATTAATATGGCATTTTGGTACATGTTAAGCCCATGGAGTATTGGAAACCATCACTTTTTTCGGGCTAAAAAAGGACAGCAGGGTGCTGAATCACTGGAATCGGCGGTTTCCTGAGGTTTTGGGATATTTCTGCACATCAAATATGACATTTCTTGGCCTCGAAGGTCCTTGTTGGAATCACCCCATATCGATGCAAGGTAGGTAGCCATACTCATAGTTGATGTTCAAAGGGATTGATTTGATGCCTGGGAAGCCCAGAAAAATACAAAGGACATGTTGATTGGGGTGATCACCTGTGTTTTTTTGTTTTCATCCATGAATTTCACCTGGAGTTTCTTGAAGCTCCCAGCACATCACCAGCCTGAGGCCAGAAGTACAAGTTCCTTGGATTCACTGAGTTGGCGATGTTTTATCTGATTGGTGGTGACTGGAACATGGCTTTTTTTCATATATTATATATATATTTATATATATTGGGAATGTAATCATCCCAACTCATATTTTTTTTCAGAGGGGTAGGTCAACCACCAACCAGTGATTTTACCACTAACAAATCTACCAGTGACATGGGGGAATCATGAGGAATCTACGTGAATCACATGGCGTTGATTGTTTGACCCCTTTTTTGTGGGCCAAAAAGAGGGTCCCCATTTTTCAGCGCGCAGGTTCTGGTTTGAACCTGGGGAATTGATGCCCATGTTGGAGACTCCAGAGATGACAGTTACTTGGATTACTTGGCTGCGGAAATCGGGCCTGGGCGTAGGCGGTGGTGCAATTATCACTTATAGTGATGGTTTGTGATGATTCTGTAGCTCTTCAACTCTTCAACTACTTTTCTTATGGGCTTCAAAAATAAACTAATAAATGTGTGCGTATATTTCGGTGCCGCCAAACTTGCAACTTCGAAAAAAAGGGAAAACACTGTTTTTTTGAGTCTTCAAGCCCAATAAGAACCGCCCAATCTGTATCTGGATACCTGGATGCATCCCAGAAATACTATCTGGAGAATCAGCAGTACATGTACCTTTTGGTTCGATAGCTATGGAAAGTGGTCGATTTATAGATGATTTACCTATTGAACATTGACTGATTTTCTACCACTATGTTAGATTACCTAGAGGGTAGCGATTGGAAGTCGGTATTTTTATATTTTAGCTGGTTTAAGCTGTTGGTTGTAAGCCATTTAGGATGTCTAGGATAGACTTCCAAGTGGTGTTTTGGAGGGATACCTCTGGGCGCTTGCTGGATTCATTTTCTGTTATCACCGCCACCTAGGAGGATGATACAATGACTCTCCATGACTTTTTCTGGGCTTTTTAGAAACCACTAGTCAGTGTTGGAATGAGGACGGACACGTCCCAATTGATTGGGGCGGAGAGCTGTGTTTTGGGTATATAAGGTTAACAATTATGTAACCATACAAGAAAATAAGTAAAATTATGTGATATTTGCCAACATTTTAAATTCGCAAAATGATGAAGTCATGAAGGTTGCTGATGGTTAGGGATGGTTAGGATTGGGGTAACTATGCCAACATGGCGTTATCTTAGGTTGGTGATTTGTTTTGCATATAAATGATTGATCCTACATATGGCAGTTTTCCAGTCAAATGAGCCATTAATGATTAATGCCTGTCATAAAAAGCAACCCAAAAATTATACAGAAGTAATACATAGTAACACACCATAAGATACCGCCACTTTTGGGGTCTTTTCAGAAGTTGGTTTGTATATATATATATCACCTATTTGATATACATTTATACACACATATACGAGGCTTGTGAATTGCTATAATTGCTATACTGTTCATGGATTTGTTTTTTTAATGATTTGCCAGTTATTTATAGGATGACCTGGTTTATGATCATGCTTGCTAGTTGATTAACCAGGGTCATTACCCTGTGGTGTCATCAAATCTGCTAATAGAACAACAACTAAATTTAGTTTGATGATTTTCCCATTATATAGTTATATATTTATAATTTAAACAACAAAAACAACAAAAGCTCCGTTTCTAGTTCATTTCACAGCGTGCCATGATCAACAGAGGGTAACCCTCATTGTGAGATAAATCCCCAAACATATCCACTAACTTTATCGTTGTTTTTTTAGATGTGTATATATATATATATCTCTCTCTCTCTCCTAATTATATCCCCTAGAAGTGGAGCAGCTTCGCTGTTGATTTCGCAGGTCTGGGCCTCCGTCTTCCAAGGCCGAATGCGGGAACGGGAGCTGTGCCCAGGGGCCCAGTCAACTACAACAGTTGATGCACTAAAATCCCTAAACAATAGGAAGAAGTAAAATACAAGAAGGAACTACCCTCTGGTAATTTAACATAGCTATTGAAAATGGCCATTTATAGTGAGTTTTCCCATTAAAAATGGTGATTTTCCATAGTTATGTAAACGTTTACCAGAGGGTAACTAAAGAAACACATTCAGTCTACACTAGGCCCTGTTAGGACATCCAACCGGAATCATGCGGAGGTGACCTTTTTTTCTTGGTTGATGTACGGCATTCCAGTAGGGAAAACACCCCGGGAAATGTCAATGTACATTCCGGCAACATCGGTACCTGTTTAAAGTTTCTTGAAATTTAAACAAGACCAGATGGAAAAATCACACAATTTTACCGCATCGTTTTAAATATGAACTTCCGGATGTAATATGGCAGTTGCCACCGAAAATTTTCAAGATCCATGTTTTCCGGTGTAGAGCATCTGCCATGGTTTTCCAGACCTCAGAAGCAAAGCCATACACATTCCGACGCCAGGACCTACCATCGACTTTCAGTGGTTTGATCGCTTTATGGTGACTGCCAAGGCTGGAGCCGCCGGGTTTTCTATGGTTTTCTGGTTTTTCCATGTTTTTTCCAGGTGCCAACAAGGCTGGATACAATTTCCAACTACGTAGCTATTGAAAATGACCATTTACAGTGGATTTTCCCATGAAAAATGGTGATTTTCCATAGTTATGTTAGTTTACCAGAGGGTACAACATTCAACTCACCATTTGCCTGAAAAAAGGGGTCATTCCGCATTTCAGCGGGGTTCCTGGATAGTCCAAATTTCCATATACTAATCTCATCTCCCTAATATTAAACACCCCCCTTAAATGGTACCAATTATGGAAATTCCCTACTAAACCATTGTTTCTAGGTGATGTTTAATATTAGGGGGATGGGATTATATACTACGAATTGTTTTATAGGATTGCCAGAGGGTATATAATATTTTAAATAATATAATGCAAGTTTATTGCGTAGATCACCAGATCAACAGCCCATTGAGACCAAAACTGAAGCTACGCCATTCCTAAAATGTAATGAGTGGTGAATATAGGTCGTTTGCCATATATGCATCATACTGTATCAAACTCCTATAAAAATGATATAGAGTAATTTGTTATAGAAAAAACACATTCTACTATATATCCAATATAAGAAATGGCTGACTAACCTAGCCATAGCAGATTGAAACTCCACATTTTCCTTGCCATTTCATTATCATTTTTGCGGGTTGCGTTTCCACAAAAACAAAGAAAAACCCAGAACTTTGAATCGCGCGCTTGGCGCAGGATGGCAAGCAGATTGTGGATGTCACCGTGCGTCGCGCCCTTCCAGGCTGTGATGAGACCAGCGAGTCATGGAAGGGCAAGCCAATTGGGCTGCGGGCCTCACTTAGTACATGGGTGAAAAACACAGTTGTATCAGTGGAATATCCCCACCTATGGGATGAAATAGGGCCTTTTTTTTAGGGGAGGGGGGTTGGATATTATGGATAAGGATGATAAACCACGGATCCGAAGTAGAATTCACATGCACGTAAGAAGAACCAATAAGATTGGCAGGAAGAATTCTATGCTCATAGTTGTAGTTTACGTGTCTTTCTTTTGGGGGGGAGGGATCCTATAGATTTGTTGTTTCCCAAAAGAATCTTGAACATATAACTGGTAGACATGGTGTTGTCTCCAGCCGTGATGAATACTTCGACCGAAGTATGCTAAATTGAGTAGGGAACATGAGGTTTTGTTCAACATAGGCTGGAATCAGGTACCTTATTTGCATAGAAACCCAAATGATTAACATAGCTTTAAAAAAATGGCCCATTTATAGATGGTTTACCTACGTATTAAAAATGGTGACCTGGTGATTTTCCATGGGTATGTTAAATAACCAGATGGTAACTACCTCTGATTGTCACCAGATTGTATTTGCTGACTGGTTGGTGATGTTTTGAAATCCCCAATGTGATGTGCTAGACTCGGGGTAAGGTACCAGGTGTGGTAGGTGCATGGCTTGATGGTCTTGAGATGGGGCAAAAGAACCACCAAGCAATTTAAAACACTATCTATATAAATATGTAAAACTAACAGGTACTGCACACAAAACATTATGTGCGTATTTAATATCTAATGATTATTACGAGGGTTTAGATACAAATGTGTAGACATATCATAACGTCCATCACACGTGTACTGTATACATGTGTGTATCCAATGTTTCAACATACTATGTATAAAAAGTTTGCGATGTTTGTGTCAGATCATCTAGTGTCATTGACTTTAGGAACCATTCCAGTTTGGTACTTTCAATATCAGCCAGTGACTAAACTGTGAGGTTCTGCCCTGGGATCATCAAGCATGTTGTGGAAGCTGTTGGGTTAGGATGCCAGTATTTCCAGTTGTATGTTTCATCAGTTTCCGTCCAAGGTAAATAAGTTCCAATATGTTCCAACCTCCCAAATGGCGATAGAGAGAGACAGCGAGAGAGAGAGAGAGAGGTTCCAGATATGTACCATAGTATTTTCAAACATGTTGAACAAAATCTCTTCTACAAACAAGTTCACTGACCATTTTTTTTTTCAGGTGATGGTTAACTGACTCCCCCAAAACTGGTTGGACCATCTGGATGGCTACGTTGCTGCTGACTACTCGGTTGCCATCTAAATGCCATACAAATGGACATATAATATAGAATGGAGAGGGCGATGGAGAGAGAGATAATTATATATATATTGATATTTTTATATAACATACATATATAATCATATATATATATTATATGTATGTGTATTTATTTCATGTTTACTGTATATACTAACCAGCTAAAGACAGGAACAGCATTTTTGTTGCATGGCATCCCGGCCGAAGGCAGCCTGCCTTTGTGCCTTGGCCAGCGCCAGGCACCAATCGCACGCAGTTCCGCCCGAGCGAGTTCACCCAGCTGGACATCAAGATGGGTGGTCGCAATCAGATCCGCCGCCGCGGTATCTGAGCTGCACTGCAAAAAAAGCCACGAAAAATTTGAACGGTGGCTGCCAAGCCAGGAATAGCTGTGTTGGTTTATAACATTACAACTCCAATAACAATGATATATGATACATAGTTTTAACTGTAGTTAATGGTGAAAAAAAAACCAACTAAACCAACTCATAACTGGAGGGCCCACATTGTACATATACCAATAGGAAATCCACTACTCAGGGAATCTATAGGAAATACGATTTTTTGCTGGGCTTCCTTAACTCAAGCAAATCCAAGTTATGTTCGATACATACAAGCGTAATAATGAGAATAGTGAAACAATACCATATCAATGTGTATATATATATATATACATATCATAAATATCACAAATATCACAAATCACATCAAATAGCTCCTCATACCCACATTGTCCCATCGTACCGAATCGTACCTCACTTTTTGTTTCATGTTAGCTACATGGTTCGGCCATGGTTACCGTCAAGTGGTTGGAAGTGATTCAATTGCGTGTGTATTTGGTTTCTGGGTACCTAACAGCCATGAGAATTTCATGAGCAACACCGGGATAACTGGACTTTCTTACATTTTGTTTCATAGATTCATATCATACCTTGGGGTAAGGCGTTTACAGATAGATGTGGATAGGAAAATGATCTAGAAACGGTGGCTTTGCCAAGTGACCGGCCCGCTGGGGCGATGGTAAATCATCGGGCAGTGGCCGGTCGTAGCCTGAGGGTGTGAATACTTTATATACACATATGTATATATATATGTGTGTGTGCGTGCATATATCTACATATATATATATATATATATTGTAATGCCAACATCGGATTAATCAACCCCCCCCCTGGTAGGTAGGGGGGTACCTTCTGGCTAGTTTCTTGACCATCCCTTAATAATGAGCAACTCTGAACCATAAAAATTTGGATATGGCTTACGTCAATTAGATCTTAATAGAATTCTATTGGATTTGTTTAAATCTCACGGATCAGAAAGGTGGTTGATTAATCAGGGGCAAACCCTGGTTATTACTAATGGGGGACATGGGCTCATGGGGGGGTACCCTTTGGGAGCTATCCAAACTGGTGATTTTTATAAAGATTTTAATTAGAAATCGACCATTTGGGGAATAGTCGTTTTTTGAAATTTTCAATGATCAACTTAAACCTTAAGTATAACAATAATGATTAAAAAAAAGGTAAAAACAAATTGGAAATAAATAGAATTGGAAATAAAAATTGTTGGATAAAAAATTGATCCCAGCACTGGTGGTTTTTTAATCGGGGGGGTTTATTAATCCTGGGGGACCACCTTTTTTTAAATTACATTTTCTTTTTTGGGCAGAGGGGGTTGATTAATACTGCGGGGATTATTAATCCTAACTTGGCATTATATAACAAACACATATCTTCTATTATCCACAGGATAGCAACGTCTTTCTTGCTTCCTGAAGATTACTACGGACCTTGGTCCCCAGTCTGGGCCCCAAAGGTTGACCCAGCTAAACCCGTTGCTGCCCATTTATAGATGATGTTCCCAGCTAGAAACCTCCATTTGTGGTTGGGATTTTCCATGGCTATGTTAGTCATAACCAGATGGTATATATATATGTATACTGTGTATATATATATATAATATTATATCACTATAATAAAGATTGCTGGTATGATTATATATATATATATAAATCACTATAATATATGATGATTATATAATAACTTTTTGTGTTTCGTACAAACCCAGCGAAATGAAACCCAGCCACATTGTTTATCATGGACACATCATGTAAATTCTCCCTGTGTTGATGCTTTCTTAATCTTAGTTCTGGCTGGTGAGATCATGCCAATTCAATTTGTCATGCTTCACCACCCTGTTTTTCGGATTCCCCTCCCCCAAATAGACATGTAGACCCTGCCAAATAGGGGGTTGGAAGATTAGTTTCCACTATATAAACATAACCTATTTTCTGGGCCTATGTTAATTGGGGGGAAGGACCAGGATGATTCCCAATCTATCAGGCTTGAATCCAATCTTTAAGAGTTGAGTCGACCAATGTTTGGTTCAACCATTTCCCCCCGAAAAGGAAGTTATGGTCAGATCACCTAAACCATCTTACACGCTTGAATTCCCATGATTTGTTGGGTCATCTTGGGTCACATCTTACCAAGAAATACAAAAAAATGGTTCGTTGAAACCACCATTAGTTATATAACCTTAGTTTTAGGAGTTATTTCATCCCATTTATAACTGTTGGTTGGGCCGTAGCTTTAGATCGCTCAACCTCTGAGGTCAAGAGCTCTTCGCAGCAGATGGGGTGAAGGTTGGAGTTGGCGCACGCTGCTTGGACCCTGATGGCGTTCCATCACCGCGATGAATCTTTGTAGGACTACAATGGACTATAGATTTATATAGCAACTAGATCCATGTTTTTTTGTGTACATAAATAGTCAAATAGTTGTATAAATATAATAACTATAATATTTATATATATATACATATTACAATGCATTTGCATGTGTAATGTACATATGCGATATGTGACACGTGTAATATTTGTACATAGATCGATATGATGCACGTATAGCTATCATCTCAGTTGATCTCCATATGGGTTATCATTGGGGTGTGACAAGGTTGTAAACCCTGGAAAGGGGTCAGCGATGGCTTAGTAATATGAAATTTGGCAAGGTCATTGAATCAAAGATATATAAATCGTCCGAAAAGAACGGGGGGGTAAGTCTAGATTCTAGATTTCTTTGTGATTTGCATCAGACTTGGGTGTGGCCCTAGACATCAGGGATATACCCTCCAGTATTGCCAACTGCTTACTTTGGGGCTTGGGATGATCCTGCCAGGCGAAATCCACAAGGTTTGCCAGCTTGGCTACCCACGTCTGGGCGGAACGGTTTCATCCAATCCCCCAATCATCATGGAGCCAATGTGGAACTTTCAATCTTCGCCGTTTGTGATTTTGGATCATCCCCATGTCCCCCCCAAAAAAATATGCAACAGCCAAGTTTTCAGGGCGGGTTGCTGGGATATTATCTGAACTTTATCACATGGATGTAAACAGTCAGTAAGGGGGGTATCCCCAGGAGATATCGCAACGCATATCCGAGGCATATCATTCATCGAAACTGCAAGTTTATTGTTAGAGCAGTGTTTGTACTCAAGAAATGATCACAAACAAACATATCTAATGTTGCGCCAATCATAAATATGTTTAATCATTATTACACTTAAATCATAGGATAATGTAATATTTAGAATGTGAGTAATTAATACTCATTGTGTTAATGATCATAAAACTAACTCATCAAAACCAATACAATTATATTTAAGTTTATTAAACATAGTAGCAGTAAACATATTATACATACTTTGTTATGGATTGAACAAAGTAAACACACGTAAATAATATTAATTAGAATGTATTTAAATCATAGTAGCAGTGATAATTGGTCCTTTTTTTTTCTCGTAAGGCCGGTGTGTTTCGCTCAAGCTGATGGCTCCACCTCCAGAGGTGCTGTGAATCCACCTCGCCTGCATCATACACCGGTGCTTGAGTTCGTGATGGCGTCTTGGTTGGTACCAGTTGGTGTTTTTTTTGGGGGGTATATGATGAGATAATAATGGATAATGTTAGTAAAGCAAACATAAACACACTATATATATCTATAATGTTGATTCTTTATACCAGCTGTTTATGGTAAATTTGGAGACTGTTCACTGCTGTTTCTCTTCCCATTAGAATGGTATGATCCCTGATTTACATCACCAAATAGATCCAAGAAACAACAATGAAAAACATAAATGCCGCGAATTCACTATGGTTGTTGATGAGGTTGGTTGGGAAGCCACATGGTTCACGACCAATTGGTACTTCACTGTAAGTACATTGTACTTACATGATGGCATACGTGATATGCCACGCCGGCTCTGAAACATGGTTCCCAAAATGACATCACTGGGCAAGGGGTGTGGTGCATTGCTTGCCTGCTCGCTAAATGGCGTACCTTCTCTTTTGGAGGAGTTGAGTACGGTGAGTCGTTTAAAGCTGATTGTACTTGGCCCGTTCTCGCATCCACAACTCTCGAGTTGCACGCAGCCCGTGTAGAGTGACTCAAGATCAGAAGGAGTTTCCTTGTTTTCCCAAGATGCAGCCTTCGGCCAAGGCCAAGGCTTTAATAAAGATCTATTTGCTGCTGCGCTCTTTGTTTGCGGGGCTCCCCAAGTGTAAATCCGTTTATACCGCCCCACTAGAACTATATTTATATACTACTCACAATCTATTAACCATTAGTTGAGTTAGTTCCAAACCAATTTCGCAACTTGGCCATCGTTTTTAAGGGCTCCCACCTTGTGGTCAGCCCTTCCACAGTCACCCGTGTCACCTGGCCCAGGTGGAGAGCGAATCGATTTCTTTCATGGTGCACGCGGCCCATGCGGGTGCCGAGTTCCCGGATGACTTCGACCAGCAGGCCATGATGCCATGATCGAACGAGGGAAAAGCTGCAGAGAAACCTATTGTTTCATGGGTTGTTACAGCATGAGTTCTTGCAGTTGTCCTATAGATCCTTTAGATGCCAGACATGGGTATGAATTTTGATCAGAAACACCCATAATGGATGGTTTCATATAAACCCAGATTTCACTTGCCAATTGACTGCATCGTCAGGGCATAGAAGCAGTAGCACCAGCAGCATCCTCAAGTCAGTTGTTTATTTTGAGAGTATTACGGTTGCAGTGATCATCATCCACCGCATCAGAATTCTCATGACAGTAGTGGTGACAACCATCATTGATTACCCTCTAGTAAACTAACACAACTATGGAAAATCACCATGTTTAATGGGTAAATCCACTATAAATGGCCATTTTCAATAGCCATGTTTGTTTACCAGAGGGTATGTTCATCGTCAATGCTACGTGGTGTTTCGCGCATTGGATCCCGAGTGTCATGGGTAGTCAGCCATTAAAAAAGCCCCTCAAAGACGACCCCCTCAATGATAGATGATTAATAAACCCTTTTAAAATAGGTGGTAGTTGATAGACACTCACTGTATATTCACATATATATATATATATATCCCATCATATCGCCATTTATGGCTGATTTTAAATCCATCAGTTGCCCAAAATGTTTACAATGCCCATCTGGTTTGTGGTTTGGAACATGTTTTTTTCCATTATATGGGATGTCATCCTTCCCATTTGACGAACTCCATCATTTTTCAAGATGGTTAAAACATGTTAAAACCACCAACCAGCCATTGTTTCAATCCCATTATGACCATTACCCTCTGGTAAACTAACATAACTATGGAAAATCACCATTTTTCATGGGAAAATCCACTATAAATGGCCATTTTCAATAGCTATGTTAGTCATTACCAGAGTGTACATGCAGTCCATGAGTTTTCACATTGGCACATCACCTTTCGAGGTGAAAAACACACACCTCGATTGGGTCAACTTGGACATGGTGGACCCCAAAAAGTCCCTCAGTCGCCGCATCGGATCGCGTGGACCGTGGGAGATCAACGAAGCCAAGAAGTTTTCAAGTTCGATAATACACATTACCCTCTGGTAAACATACAAAAAACATCAAAAAACTATGGAAAATCACCATGTTTAATAGGCAAATCAACTAGAAATGGTCCATGTTCAATAGCAAACTGTTTGTTTACCGGAGGGTAACAACAGTAAACATGTGTTCCAGACAAGATCGGCTGCAAGCTTCACAATTCGTTTGACTCGCATTTCCTGTTTTTTCTGAAAGGTAGACTTTGCTCTCCAAGGCGCCATAGGTTTGATAGATGAGGTCAACACCCTGCAGGAAAGCCCTATTTTTGTAGTAAGAAAATCATTTTCCTGTAGGCGTTCCCTCACCCAAATCCATTGATAAGATGTAGAGTATATATGTGAATAATTGTTAATAGATGCAAGGTAGTTAGGTAGGTAGACAGGCAGATAGAGATATAGACAGATAGATAAATAGACATAAGACAGACAGACAGACAGACAGAGAGACAGACAGACAGATACACATAGATAGATCGAGATACGTATATCCTGATTTAGTGGTAAATGATTACCGGTGACTGATATACAGAATTTCTTGCAGCTCGTGCAACTCCACTTCTAAGCGGCGCCCTGGCTGAGGAACGGCTTCAAGGGCATCTTGCCCCAGATTTGGCGCGTGCAACCACGTACACCCGAAGTGGAGGCGGGCTACCGGTGGCTGGCGGCCATCTTCATCGTGATGTGGTGCTTATGTGTTTAACCAGCAATAATGATACTGATTGGGTTGCAAATGTAATAATCACAGATAAATAGACTAGAGTCAGAATAGATTACTGTAGATTAGATAAAAGTATATTATAGATAGATAGATCAGATAGATATAGATAGATAAGAGAGAGTGAGAGAGAGAGAGAGATAGATGGATGGATCGATAGATAGTTATATAAATTGGTAGATAGGTAGGTAGGTAGATAGATACGTGTGCACACTTGGAAGTGCATTCATTTTTTAGCTGGCAAGTACACTGCTTAGCCCACGACCCATCGTGATTTGATGGATGAGTTTTCCATCACAGTCTGCAAAAACGCAAGATGAATGCAATGCGGTTAAAGCAAGAATAAACCATCCCCCAAATCATCATTTTTATAGGTGGTATAAACATGTATAAACCATTCCCAGTCATAGGTAGTTTTTCCCAGCCGGAAACAAGCACGGAATTCCATAGTTTGAGTTACCCAGCCGGGTGGCATGTACTTGGGGGAACCTTGGATGTGCGCTTTAGTGACTACTTGTGTTGCCGTTGGATGGGGATATCTTTAAAGAACCTAACCAACCATTTTTGGGCTTTACATCTAAGATTGGCCAAAGTCATTCATTCCAATCATGCCTTTGGTTTTCCTTACAGTATAGAATATTAGTGTAATTTAAGAGTCAAATCATTTCAAATGATGATTTTTGTTTATAGGTTTTCTCTGGTTGGTGGTTTCAAACATGTTTTTTCCATTTAATATGTGGGATGTCATCCTTCCCATTTGACGAACTCATATTTTTCAAGATGGGCACATTGCACCACCAATCATAGAATTGGATGATGGGAAAATTTACAGGAAACCCCTATATTTGATGGTAAAAACCATGGTTTCCTGTAGATTTTCCCTTAAACCAATCCATTGAACCAAGCAGTTCATTCGTGTCCTCAAAATCTCTTTACGCCGGTTACAGGCCATGCTCATTGCTCCCAGCAAGAAAGCCATGGCAGTCTGCACCTCCATTGAGTGAGCGGCAGCATTTTAAGTGCGATCCAACAGCGGTCAGAGAAAGTGGACTTGAATTTGCTTCGAACCATCAAATCTGGTGATGTTAACCATCAAACATGGTGATTTTTGAGTGGTTTAAAAAGGGATTTAACTTATTTAACTATCAAACATGGTGATTCTAAGTGAATTCTAAGTGATCCTAGCAGGATTTTAGTGGGATTTTAAACATATACAATGTTGGTTTCAAGATGCGTTCATATTCATGAGTAACGGACATATGGTACCAAACTAACAACATCTGCATACGGTATCTAACATGAGCCGTGATTAACCCTCCGTTGGGCATTTGTGTGTGTGTGTGGTATGCTTTTTGCCACTCGAAACAATAGTAGATTGGAACAATTCGAACTAGGATTTATAGTGTAATTATGTATATAATATTACCATGATTTTGACAGTTTGACCACCATTTGCAGAGAAACAGTTCAGGTTTAAAGATGAACATTGGATCAGATACATGTTCGTTTTTTTTTATGACTTGCCATGGATGGATGTAGATAGATGTAGATGGATAATTCGGATCACGAACCTCAGTAGACTCAGTAGACCTTCATGACATGATGTTTTTCTGGATTTCTTCCGATTTGGATTACCACATAAAGCTGGTGAATCCGCCAACTGGGTTTTCCTAAAGCAATTTAGGAAGTGGGGGGCCCACTTCCTGTAGCTTCAGCGGATGATTTGACCAAGGCAAACCAAGCCTCGTCTTAAAGTCGGCTGTTGGATTCAAGTCGGATCAGAGCACTACAGTCGCAGCCAGTTCTAGCCCGGAGACTTCAAGTCCTGGCGTGTCGGAAAAGGAGGGGGAACCATTAAAATGCTTAAAATGTTTTAAAATGCCAGGTCTTATGGAACATTCTATTGGACAATAGTTGAAATCATGGTGATCATCACCATGAGATTTGGGTCGCCAGTTTTTTTTCAGGCGTTGTTCAGGAGCCAGGAATTCAACCATGTGACCAGATCCGAGATGTCCAGGACGGTTCTGGGTAGGCTATGTATCACTTTGTTGGAAAATGGGGCTTTAAACTTTAAACAACCGTATTTCTAGCATTCAAGTTGCCATATCCACTCATCATGGCAGTTATGGCCCTTTACCAGTTAAGATTTGTAAGTCACCCTATTTATGGAATGACAACACCATTGAACCATTTATAGCCAGAATCATATTTTGGTCTAGGGTTTTAACATTCAATGGATTGGTTTAAGGTAAAAATAACAGGAAACACCCATATTTGTTATAGGAACATCTATGGTTTCCTGTAGGTTTTTCCATGTTTTTCCTTAAGCCAATCCATTGAAACATGCTTGAACTGTATGATTTGCCCCATTGGACAACATCCATATCATCTCAGCACTGCAAGCCCGCAAGCCCGCAAGCCCGCAAGCCCTGGCCCTTGGGGGCGTCCACAAAGGAGCGGGTAGGTAATCATAATATGAAATAATCATGTGATTATGGGGATATGTGTATATATATATACAATTATACATACATATATATATATATATTGTGTATGTAAGATACGCCCCGATAGGATCTGATAGGATCAATTCAGGTGAGTGGGATATGATATATGCTCAAAACTGACTTGGAATTCCAATGTCAGCATATTTCTTGGCATATTTCTTATTTCTGACATATAGGTGACATTAGCCTTAGTTTTTTTGAATCAAGAAGTATCTGGTTGGTGGTTTCAAACATTTGTTGTTTACCATAATATATGGGATAATCCTTCCCATTGACTAATATTTCCCATCAGCCACACTAGGCTAGTCTCCCAGAACCTCACGGCGTCACCGGAAGGGGAAAACTGGGAGGCACCAATCCCCAGCCATGGCCCAAATCAATTCAGGTCAGTGAATTACTATAACTTATTGAGATAGTTATATATATATATACACTATACATGCATATATATATATATATATATGTATAATCTATTATTATATATATGTGTGTGTTTGTATCCCATTATTACCCCATTAGATGGCCATCAAATAAAAGTCATCGGCACATGGAGACCCTGACGAAACGAACGATTTCGGCCAAGCTGGATTCGAAACTTGTTTTTCGCATCTACAGACGATGCCAGAGGGACATAAACCTTTTTTTTTTTGGAGGGCGTGGGTACCTCCAAAAAGTTGGTTTATTACTAATGCTTAATTTGATGCCCCAAAAAATAATCTTACAGGACAGGAACCGAAATTACTCACAGCTTGACATCAATTACCCTCTGGTAAACTAACATAGCTATTGAAAATGGTCATTTACAGTTGATTTACTTATTAAAAAATGTGATTTTCGATAATTTTGTGTATGTTTACCAGAGGGTATCCATATCACAGGGAGGGCTTGCACCTTGCGACATCCGCGCCATTTGCCATCGTCATCGCACACGTCTTCAAGAGATTGAGCCTCGGGACACGGCCCTTGCGTTGGACAAAAACATGTTGGTTCAGGAACAGAAATAGGAAATTTGACAAACGAATCCGGTGGTTGGTTTCAGGCGTTTCTTGTTTTATTCTTGTGTTATCCCTTTCTTTATTTTCTGTTTGGTGCTTTGGAACACGGCTTTTATGACTTTCCATTTAGTTAGGAAATGTTGGGAATAATCGTCCCAACTGGCTATTTTTCAGAGGGGTAGGTCAACCACCAGTTTTATTTGGGGTCATGAGTCATGATCCCAACCGATGTTTCGAGTATTTGTGGTTTTGTGCGATGGATTGAAGACACCAACGGTCGGACCCAAGCTCGGAGCTACAACTGGTTGATCCGAGGTGGCCATATCAAACATCAGTACTGGCAACCAATATAAACCACCAATATTTTTGATGGCTTTTTACCACCTTGTAGCATTTTGGAACATGTATGGTAAGTTTTGGGATGCTTTACCATGCTTTTCCAAGATACCGTGGACCGAGGGCACAACAGACAGGCAGCTGGAGATGCAGCGGTCAGCGGAGAGCAGAGCCCAAATCGAAAAAAAATGCGGCGGAAACAACGAATCCGAAAATGGTCATAGTTCACATATATAGATATAGGATCCATGTATGGTATATACGCTAACACTTGGGGTATATTGATGGGATCCATGTTACCATTAATATAGCATACATGGATCCTATGGCATATGGGATATAGATATACATACTTCTGGGTAAATTATAACGACCTGATTATCTGATTGCGGCCTCATTGGAATGATGGTTCGTAGGCGTAACTATCCCAAAATAGTCTTATTTCAAGTCAGTGAATAGTTATAGAGTTAGAGTCCTAGAGTTTACCCAGATAATTAGTGGTTGGTGGTTTCAAATATGTTTTATTATCCATAAGATATGGGATAATCCTTCCCATTGACTTTCATATTTTTCAAGAATGTTAAAACATGTTAAAACCACCAACCAGGATTTTATCCATTCTGAATATACATATCATATATATATATATCATATATATATATACACCCTCGGTAAAGATTCCCAGATATCACATGCCTTACGTTTGATTAGTGGCCCCGCGTCCTGGTGATTTCAACGGTGGTGCAACGAACCCAAGGAACCCCCCTGTAGCCCCTTTGGCCACTGGATCTCCTTTGCAAATGTTCAAACATTTGCACACTGAAAGAATGTCGTAAAAGCGAAGAAATGTCAAAATTCCCAACATCCGGAAATCAGTGAAAATGTGCCAACGAAAATCTGGCTTCCGATCTGGTGACAGGAAAGTGGCCCCAGAAGCTTTGGTGATTTGGATTGTTTAGATCGGTCTGGGCCTCATCAAAGCACCCGTTTTGGACGGCTGGAACATCTCTGCGGATTCTGCAGCGATTTTTTTGTCAGGTGGAGCTTGCTGCCAAACACGTACGATTGTTTTCGAACATAAAATGTCAACCCCGGATTAATAAACCATAGTTGCCATAGTTTATTCATTAGGGGGTACTTCCCCAATAGTCATAATCTGATACTTAAACGCCACCCCCCCAATTAAACAACATAAAGGGTTTATTAATCCAGGGTTGATTTTAATAACAACCAAGGTGGGAACTTTTTTCCAATCTGAAGAAATCTGACGGACAAGTGGAGTGAGGCGAATTGTGTGCAACTGGCTGTTCATGAACAAGCCCAATGTGACACACGTGTATCAGGCCATACCGCAGATGGGGCTTGGAAATGAGGGATGATGATCCCCATCAATAACATGTACACATGACATGATGTCTATATTTCTTTAAAATAATATGCAATCACACACACATATATTATATACACATTATTTTTGGATATGGCATTTATATAGGCATAAATAGTTTCAGGCGGGGTTGGAAAGCCACCAACTCGAACATGTTTTTTTTTTGGAGGGTTATTTTTGGGGGGAATTATGTTTTTCCGTTTTGGGCATTTTTTTTGACTTCTGTTTCCCTGCTTCTTTGCTTTTCTGCTTTTCCCTGCTTGTTTGCTTTTATAGTTCTTTGCTTCTCTGCTTCTCCACTTTTCTGCTTCTTTGCTTCTTTGCTTCTCACCGTGCTGCCTCTTTGCTTCTCCGCTTTTCTGCTTTTCCCTGGTTTTCTGCTTTTCCAGCTTCTTTGCTTCTCTGCTTTCTGCTTTTCCATGCTTTTCTGCTTTTCCAGCTTCTCTGCTTACCTGCTTTTCTGCTTCTCTGCTGTTTCCCCTTTTTTTGTTGTTTCTCATACTGCAGATAATCCTTAAGAAACATCATGCAAATAAACCCTAAATCAACCATAAATAAACCCCAAACCAACCAAAGAAACACTAAAGCAACTCTAAGTAAACCCTAAACACTCCCTAAATAAGTTTGAAACTAATCCTAAATAAACCTTGCACCAGCCCTAAATAGATCTTAAACCAGACCTAAATAAATCTTAGGTCTTAAACCAACGCTAAACACACCTTAAGCCAATCCTGAATAGGTCCTACACCAACTCTAGATAGATCCTAAACCAAGCATGGATAAACCCTAGGCCCTAAACACACCCTAAACCAGCCCCAAATAGATGCTCACCCAGGCCTAAATAAACCGTAAAAGAACCCTAAATATATTTAAACCAGACCTAAATAGATCCTAAACCAACCCCCAACAAACCTTAAACCAACCCTCAACAAACATTAAACCAACCCTAAATAGGTGCTAACCAACCATAAATAGGTCTTAAACCAAGCCTAAATAAAACCTAACAAACCCTAAAAAGATCCTAAACTAACCCAAGAAGCTAGATAAAGCCTAACTCCAAAACCAACCCTCAAAAAAACTTAAACAAACAAAACCCCTAAACTAACCCAAAAACCAACCCTAAATGAACCCTAGTTGCAAACTACCATGTTACATGAACAGTTTGAACTCAAAAATGCTGCAACTACCGTTGAAACAGCAGCTTCCAGCTCCAAAATGTTGCAAATTCTATGGAAAATGAGAGGTTTCAACTCCACAATGTTGCAAAGACAGTTGAAATGGCAGTTTCCAACTCCAAAATGCTGCAACTAGAAAGGAAAACATGCAGAAAAAACATGAAAAATCGGATCCAAAAAAAAAACGAAATAAAAAAAAAGATAATTCCCACAACATGTCCGGACCTTTTTTTTATTTGGGATGGCGGCTGGGGATACATAAAATTCCCCAAAGTTACGTTCAAACCCCAAGAATCGCCAGCACTTTCATTGTACCCTCCGGTGTTATCAAGCATGACCATTGGAAATCCCTAGGGTTGCAGGTTTTATAGCTGGGAAAATCAACGAACTAAATGGTAGATTTTCCATTGCCATGTTTGATTGCCGGAGGGTACTAGCATTTTCTGAAGGTAATTTGATGTAATTTGATGTTTCCCACTGGCCAATCAACCATTTTGGCGACATGTTGGGAATAGTTTGGATAAGTTTACCCTATCAGGGTATGTTCGGCTGTTTTCAGTGAATAGGGCACGTGGACCACTTAAATACACGTGAAAATCAAAAGATTGCAGGAAAGAAGGCTTTCCGATCTGACAGGTATTTCCCAATATCGGCAGGCGTACCTCCAACTCATTCAATCTACTGGGGGCCATTGCCACACACACACACATATATATATACACTTGTTTTCCTGCCTTGGGTTGGGGGTACTCCGCAACATTGGGACGCACAGGACATACATATACAATTATACACACATATACATATTATAGTTACATTTAGTTACATATATGCATGTACACATAGCTATACATCCATCTCCAAGATATCCGCCACGTCCCAAACATGGGATGAGGATCATTACATCATCCGCGAAAGCTGTTGATATCATATCCCATGTTACATTTTTCTATGTAGTTATACAACCTAAAACATGGGATATGATATATAAATATATAATAATATATATATATAACATATTTTTCTATATGATGCTTATACAACCTAAAACATTGTTTTTGTTGTTCACCCATAAGCATCAGCTGATCATCAGCCGTCGTTCTCAATGGCAGGTGTTGGTGAGCCCGACTTTTTTGTACGTCATCATGGAGCACTTGGATGGCCCCGATCTCTCGGATTGGATGCTGTCAGAGGAGGCGCTGTGATAGGTTTATCATGTAGATACATAGGATCATAGGATATTTCATATACAGTAAAACAGTATATATATATATATAAATAAATATAATATAAATAGATACAGATATAGCTAGCGGATAGCAATCACCATAATTTTTGTTTGTTGAAGCATGACATTTTGGCAGGTTTAACGGTTTAACCAGCCAAAATTGGTCAAGATGCTGGGTGGAATACTGAGCTTTGTTGGGCATTTCGTATACCCATGGGAATTTCTAGAATTACCCTCTGGTAATTTAACATAACTATGGAAAATCACAATTTTTAATGGGAAAATCCACTATAAATGGCCGTTTTCCATAGCTATGTTAAATTACCAGAGGGTATATACTAAGCCCCGACAGGTTGATGCCACAAAGTTAGAAACCTGGAAAATCACTTGGGAAAACATTGAAAACATCGGACTCTCATCCTCATTGCTGCCATCAAAAGGCCCAGCACATTTTGTACACCCAGATGGGAAATAGAAAACCGAGGGTTGTTGTGTATAGGTTGTTGTGCAAATAAATATGTGGTTTGATCATATTTTCTCTGCACAACCTTTTCGGCGTACACGAGACGTGGACAGGGCCAAGGGAGGAGCGAATTGTCAGCTATGAGGCGCGATGATGAGCCTCGTGGACCTTTTCTTTGTGTAGCAACTCCCAAAAAAGATGGAGAAGACATGACAAGACCATGGATACTTTAATCCTAAAGTGTATATTTAGTCTTTATTTAGTATTTACTGCTAATCACTCTTGTACTTGTTTTTTCAGGGGGTTGTGATCGTGTCAAAAAAAAATAATATGTATGTATATTATATTTTTATATGCATATACATATATATATATATAGATATAGATAGATATAGATAGGTAGATAGAAATATAACGTATACTATATTTGTAGGTCACAGTTCGCTCTTCAGGATATTTTTGGATGGTGGTTGAGCCAGCTATGCCCCAATTTGGGCCGGGCTGAGTCGAGGCAATTTTGGCCGCAGAGTTATCTTGATTCAAGAGCTATGTGGGCCAGGTTTCTGTAGAGTACAGGCGGACATGATCATATACATATATCCATGTAGACATTTGTGTACACATTTGCAGTTGCATATGCATTACATATGCATTACATTTATGTATTACATATCAAATATTTAAGATTCAAGATCTTGTTTTACGTAAATAAGGTCTTACGGACATATAATATATGTCCGCAAGATCTTATTTACATAAAATCAGATCTTACGGACATTTGCACATATGTGAAAAAACAATTGTTGGGGCATATGTGACGCATATTGCCCATATATGTTGTAAATAAATGCGGAAGCTATATGTATATACGTATATACCCTCTAGGCCCTCTACAGAGTATAGCTCTTGAACCAAGTTAACCGCAGAGCCATGTTTTGTTTCATTAAGGGCTCTCCAAACTAGACTAGACTGCGGCAGGGTCTATCATGTCTACCCCTTGGCAATCAAACGTGGCAACGGACAAAATCATCAAACTCTACTGTATATAGATGATTTGCCTACAGTGAAGATTGTGATTTTTTGTTCCCACCTAGACCGCTGGTTAAACAAATCTATACTGGGTCACGAGTGTGCAACCTCGAACTGACATGGGCAGTACCCAGCCTGCTATGTCAGATGTTGCCTTCTACAGGGTATTTGCAGTGGAAACCCAGCAATTTCTGAGCACATTGGGTGATTTCTGTCAGGGGAATTCAGTACAGTACCCCGGCTAAAACAACGACGAAGGAAAATTTGCCTCCCAGTTGTTAGCAGGATTTTTTTGCAGGATCAGGGCTTTGTCAGTTCTATTCTGTTGATCCTTGCTTGTTTCAGGTGGTATACGCTACGCAGGGTATGAGTCTTTATAGTTGCGTCGGGCAGGATCCTTCACGAAATTCTGCTTGCAGCACGTGAAGTGCACCGACATGGCTTTGTACACAGAGAAGCTTGGCGTGCTTGGCAAGTTGAACAGATGGCGTTGATACCTGAATAGTAGTGGAAATGTTATATAATTATAGGCAATGGGAATTCCAGGATCCTAAAATGGAGGTACTGTACCATATCAGGCCATATTTTTGGGGTATATCCCCCTTACATAGGCCTTATATATGGTAGGTACCTCCAATTTAGGATCATACATGGGGGCATTTTGGAGCACTGGACGACTTCACCAATGGGGGTATGGTATCATCCCAAAATTGGGGGCATTTGGCACATGATAGTAACTTGCCGAGATAGACAGATGGCAGAGTTTGAAGATATGACCGAAATCTGTGGTTCCCTCTGCTTGTTTTTTTGAATTCACTAATCCTCAAATTACACACACATTTCTCTATACATACATTTTTTTGTTGAAGGGCTATTGGAGAACGTGGAACATGGGCCCCACAGTGGGATATAGCAATCAGACTCTATTTTCATTTCTATACATTGCTATCATGTGTTTCTTCAATCTACCCAGTTTTCCCCTCATTTCCCCACAGCATGTGGCAGATTCCTGGCCATGTTCGTTCGTAAAAACCTGGCTGAGGATTTGAAATTCGACAATTTTCGCTTCGCCCATGGCCGCCTGGCAGAGGTTGGCTAGGCTCTCATTGACTTTAGGAAGGCCCAAACAGAGGAAAACTTGGTTTTACTAACAGACAATGGATTGGTTTAAGAAAAAATCTACAGGAAACCATGGTTTTTACCATCAAATATAGGGGTTTCCTGTAAATTTTCCCATCATCCAATTCTATGAAACAGAGGCAAATTTATTAATCATAGGTTAACGGTTAACGTTATTGGCTTTGATCATGTGGGGGCGAGTATGTTGATTGGGGTTGAAATTGCAGCAAGGGAATACGTAATATCCCACTGAACTTTGAAATTTTGAAAGAAGCAAATGGAGTCAGCCATGAAATGGGACAGCAACTCTCAATCATGATGCTAGGAACCTTCTCCTAGGCTGGTTCTGATCCACCGCAGTTTATATAACAAATCAAAAGGGTGGCACACTGTGTGTCCTAAACAATAATCAAAAGCAATTCTTCCCATCGTATTCTGTTGAGTTATATAAATAGTCTAACTTTCATTTCTTGGGGTGATGAATGGTAATAAAAGCATATTTAAAAAAAAAAAACGTGTTTGTTGTGTCACTGTTTCACCCTTCATCCTCAATGCAACTCTACACCACTGACAATGAATTTCCTAAGGACCCAAGAGTGAATTGAAGCTGGTGGACGTGGTGGGGTCTCTTGCCATGGATTGCTGGCGACGCATGTGCCATGGGGTGACCTTTAAAGTAAAGCTGGGTATAATCCTGCCGGCCAATAGCTCACCTGCAACAAAAAAAACGGGCTTGGGTCAGATGACTTGCCCTTTGGTAGTGAATGTCATATGTGCCCGGGGCAATGGATGAAAACCACAGCATCCGCTGACCCATCTCGTGGATCGTGCAAGTGATGAACTAGCAGGCAAGTGTGCTGCAATATGTATATATATACAAATATTATATACACATACATGCATACATACATAATCATACATACACACATATATAATATATAGCAATACAGGTTGTGAACCACAGGTTAGCAACTGGAGGCCGCTTGTGAAATCCACTTTACCACAGCATTCCTGTGTTTGGTCATATTAGTTATTCTACTTAACTCTACTTCAAAAATAATCATTAAAAAAGAACTATTCGCAACAACATTTACAAAAACTAACATGCTGCAAGCAGTTATTGGTCCATCCTCCATGGTTGTTGGGGTCGGGTCGCCATGGGTCGCCACTGGTACCCGCGGTCTGAGGACGATGTGCTTCAGACCGGATCGCCTCATTTCGAAGAGTTGGTGCGGCACGGGACCATTTTTAAGCCGCTCGGCTGCGGCAAGGCGGAGGAAGTGAGCTGGAGCAGAGTGTCTGTTTGGTGGGGATGAGGATGGGGTGGAGATGGGGGTTGCTGATGCTGATGATGCTGATGCTGATGTTGATGATGATGATGATGATGATGATGATGATGATGATCAGACATGATCAGACATGATCAGACATGATCAGACATGATCAGACATGATCAGACAATGAGTTTGAGACGATGAACAGATAAAATGAAGAGACGTACATAGAAACGCTTTCTTTTTTGAATGGTAAGCTAAGCTGCTGGAGAGTTACTGCTTTCTATTTTGCCTCCAAGCAGATGGGAGTGGACATGAACTGAATTGTAGACGCTTCAGCTGAATGCTGTGTGGTCGATTATCAAGAGTCCGTCCAACTAGTGTTGTTTATTATTTGTTTTTAATAATGTACTGGTATATAACATTATAACGAACTTTGCCTTAAATATATATATATATACCCATGCATTGAGTTTGGCAGGCTTGGGTGTGCATGTATCATCTTTAAGTGTTTCAATGAATGCTACCATTTTGGCTCAAGTAAACTTGAACCAAAATAGCATTCATTGCTGTTTTCTTTCTTGGTCTTGGTAAGGGGTGACCTTTCCAGACCTTGATTGGGTGGTTCAAATTATATACAAGGGGCGACCTTGTATGCAGCGCAAACTCCCAGGAATCGATATCCCGGCAGCCACTGAGGCGAAGATCCTTCATGCTGCTGCTTTCCTGGAGTTCAAGAGCCACGTGGAAAGGCTGGCGCGGGAGGGCTCTGATGCTGCAGCATACACATGCTGGATGCATGGCATTGAAGTGTTGCATTCCCCCTACGTCATCACGACTGGGACAGATTCAGAGCTTTTCCCCCCCCTGCCGAAGCTACCCTGTTGCCTTGATGACTGCCAGCGTTGCGCAGCTCATGTGGGGGGGTTCAAGTTCCCGTGGCTCGGCTTGTGGAACAGCCGTGGCGTTGTGCTGCCCGATGATGTGGCGCCTGCGGATGCTTGGGCGTACTACTACCAGCACCAGGACCCCATGGACCTGCTGCTGGTCGCTGCCTATACGAAGCACAAAGTGGCCGCTGACATCGTGCCCCAGGATCTCTACGGGTTGCAGCTCAGGTGCTCAGCGGGCGACGCTGGGCAACTGGGCTTGGGGGAGCTGCTCGACCAATGGAGGAGCTGGCTCAGATGCACAGGCCCTCACGAGCTCCTACCGGTCTTCCTCGAGCTGCGGCATTTCCCCAGAGCACCTAGGGGGCGACCCTGGGTGGCCTGGGGGAGAGAAGGCGCCAGGGCACATCGAGCGCTATGTGGATGGCTGGAATGCCAGGATGCAGGCATGCTTCAGCTGGGCACCGCCTGCACAGAGTGCGGAGATCCCACCAGGCGCGTGTGCTGGGCATGCTGCGTCGGGATGTGTAGTGACTGCTTCACCTGGCGTGAGCCATGCAGCACTTGTGGAGGACGTAAGAAGATGTTTGCTGCAGGTTGATTTTATGACAGAGGAGGCACCTCTGAAGTCACCGCAGCATCTTTTTGCTCTCCGCACCTTAGCGATCTTGTTAGGGTGCAGCGCCATGGCACCAGGCGGCAAAGGCTACTATGCAGCTCAAGCGGCAGCTTCGTCCTCGTCAGGGGGTGACCCTGAACCGGGATGGAGAGCAGCCGACTCCTTGATGATGATAGCTGCACAGCGTGCGCGTCAATGGAGGGAGAACGAAGGCCTCCTGGACGACAACGACTTCGCCTATGCCTACACCGACTACGATCAAGTCGTTGGACTAGCTGGCCATCACGTAGCAGATGACTGGCTGCAGACAAGAGCAAGGGTGGAAGAGCACCTCCTTGCTGCTGGGGCCAAAGTCGTGGAGGACAACCCCAAGGGTTCAGTCACTCTGCGCCCTGTGCGCAAGACAATCTACAAGAAAAAGCCCAAGGCCGTCAACGTCACCAAGAACCTGGATGAGGCCGTCCAAAAGCGGGTGAACGGCTTGGTGTCGATGTTTGTCGGAATGGGCGCATACAAACCAGCTGGCATCTTGACAGACACCCTCAAGGCCGAATGGAAACAGACGTGCAAGAGGATCGCCGAGAAGAAGGTGAAGGACGCGGAGAAGGCGACCATTGACCGAGTGGTCAACACCTGGTTGGAGCTGAGGGCCTTCTTGGAGAGTCGGGGGCGACCCGCTCCTCCTGGAATGGTCGACCTGGATCAGTTCCTCAACCACACCCAGGCGCCAGCACGAGCACTCCAAGCCTTGAAATGGATGAACAAGAATGCCGACCAGGACATGGAGCTGGGAAACTTGCAAGTGCCTACAACACCCAGGGCGACTGGGCAGCGTGGGCAAGCACCGGTGGTGGAGCCGCCATTAGTGCAGGCCTTGGAGGACCGCATCACGGAGTTGCACGCGGTCGGCGATGAGAGGTGGTCAGTTCTTCTGGCTCCTTGGATCATGTCGTTTGGCTGTTTGAGGTATGCGCACATCGCGCGGTCAGAACCTCGGCGCCTCACCGCTGCATTCCTCCATTGCAGGTGCCCTAAGGGAAAACAAAAGCATGCCCGCGAAGGTTTCGACTTTGCGGTGCCGGCCACATTCGCCAACGGCTTCTTTTGGGCCAAGGAAGTGCTGGAGGCATACAGGACGCTGGCACCAGCAAGGCAGAGACTTGCAGGCCTTTGTTTTTCAGACGAAGGGCGCCCATGGACGATCCTAGAAGTGCAAGAGACGATGCAACAGGAAATGTCCGTGTTCCTCGACAATCCAGAAGATCTGACCACCTACAGCTGGAGGAGGCTTGCACCCACGGTGGCCCAGTTGTTAGGATGCAGGCCTGAAGAAATGGCAGCCCTGGGCGACTGGCAAAACAAGAGTGAGCAACCAGAGGTGGGGGCGATGGCATTTCACTATTCTTCGGCAAAATACGCCGCGTCAGTCAAGGTGAAATCCCTGATCTGGGGCGCTACGGCCAAGCTCGCTAGCAACCTGCTGTGGGAGGCGATCCCGCAGGCAGAGCTAGATGCAGCCCGAGCTCATGGCCTTACTGAAGCTGACAGGTTGCTGCGACAAGACCGCCAACCTATTTGGGCCTCTGCACATAGCTTCCAGGACGTGAAGAAGAGGCTCAAGTTGTCCCAGCAGTTTGTCGAAGCGGCACAGCAAGCCCGGCAAGAGGCCGTAGCCGCACCGGCACCTCAGATGCCTGATCAACTCAACGGCAAGGTGCTGACGGCCACTTTGAAGAATGGTAAGGCCATTTGCCCGGAGTTCCAGACGGACGAGTGCCCGAATCCGGCAGACTCCTGCCCCTTCGGAGTGCACTTGTGTGCCATTCTACAAAAGTCAGGACGGGCATGTGGTGGCAAGCACGGTGCAGGCGTCTGCAACATCAAGCGGGCGGTGTTGGCCGCAACAGCAGTGCCAGCGGCACCCAAGCCATCGGCCACCTTGGTGCCGGCAGCCGTGGGGGAGAAGGCCACTTTTGGCCGGAAGAGGACCGCGGCGAGCGGTGCCACTGACGACGAGATGGCCGAGGTGATGCGCGCAGCTGTCAAGAAAGCCCAAGGTCAGGCTGCACCCAAGACTCCGCCCAAGGCGCCAGCCATTGCAGCACCCAAGACACCTCCGAAGGCTGCAGCTGCTACACCTAAGCCACCGGTCACAGCTGCTAAGTCCAGGGCTACAACCACAACGCCGAAGCGCTTGGCCGCTCCTGGGAAGCCACAGATCAAGGCCATGCCAAAGAAAGGCCATGGCAAGGCAGCAGGAGACACCTTGGACCTCCACTTGGAGCGGTTGGGTGTGGGCTCAGGGACAGCCCAGGCCCCGACTTGCATCTGGACATCCCGGAAGGGTGGTGGTATCTACCTGGCAGGACTTCCAATGAGGCAGACGGTGGACAAGTTCCCCAAGACAGCGTTGCAGATCTGCTGCTTCCCGAATGGTCCTGAGAGCCGGGGGGGGTGACCCTCCCGGGAGCTCAGTTGATGACCTTCGCGGCGGCATACAGCCAGGAACGCAACGAACAGTGGACAGACGTGTGGCCGGCCGTCAAGAACACTGTTTGGCACGGCGACAACGTCGTGGTGCACTGCATCAAGGGGCGACACCGGGGTGCTTTCTTAGGCATCCTCTGCCGTGCATTGCTGGCCGGCGAGTCCATTGAGGATGCCAACCACTACGTGGAGAGCCGCAGGGATACAGAGCTGAACAAGGTCATTCGCGACCAAGGCATGCGGAAGTGGCTGCACAAGACCTTCCAGGACACCGCGGTGGGAACACAGCACCCCGAGCCGCAGGGATATGCAGCTACGGAGAGGTCCAGCACCCATGTCACGGTCGAGGACGGCATCACCTTGTGCCAGCACAAGCAGGCCGATGGGAAGGCGAAGCGCCTGGTGAACCCATACATGTCCACGGACGTCTTTGAAGCTCTGGCATGGGAGCGCCCCTGGTGTGACCAGTGCCTCCGTCGAGCGCCAGCGTCATGGTGGCCGCCTGCCTAAGATGCCCAAGCCGAATTTTTGGCCTTTGCGCTGATCAGCAGCACTGGCCCGTTCCGGCCATGGAGAGCCGAATTCATCAGCTCGGGGCTTGGATAAGAGCTTCAATCCAGCCTGCATGACCGCCCCCAGCAGTAACATCATGCGCGAGAGGAAAATAGTAGAGCCAGGTGACTTTCAGTAGGGTGCCCACTGAGCAAGTGCCGTGCCCTCATGTCCTTTCGTTGTGTTTTTCAAGTTTTTCCTTTCATGACAACGCACAAGACCATCTGGGAGGGGGACCTCAGATAGTCTAGTGTACCATAGCTCTGTGGCGGCATGAAGGGATGTCATGTGAGGTCGCAACATAGCTGTGCGTTGTACACATGTCCAGATTTCACATCAGTGTATGTCAGGGTCCATTTATTTCATGCCACGCCAGGCTGTTCCAGCACAACGCACGGGGGAGACCCGAGGCGCAGTTTTCAGTCAAAGG